CTCCACAGGAGACATTTAGACTTTAAAGAAAATAAAAGCAATTTTAGGGCCAAATGGGAGCAGGGGGGCTGAAAAACGCCTAGCGGGTGGCAAACATTTTATTAGCGCTTAGCGCGAACTCTCTCAAATTTTACCTTGATATGCCCCCCCCCCCCCGTCTACGTGCCTGAGAATCGATGATGGGGTTGGAGGGTTAGGAATAGGTTAATTATGAGAGCTAAAGGGGGGGGGGGCGGAGGAGTAGGTTTGGGAAGGGGATAGGTAATATGGGTATGATTGGTGATGGGGGGAGTAAAGAAAAAAAGGATGATTTCTATGCCTAAATCTGTAGTTGGCAGACAGGCAGTTTTCAAGCGAGGATATCAAATCCAGATTATAAACACAAGTTTTTAATACAAATTACAGTTTTACTGAAACATAATGAGAACTAAACGATTCAACGACAGAAAAATCTTACTTCTTGGTTCCAATTTTTTCCTATTTTGTGATTTGCTCCCGAGAACAATGAGAATGTTACTTTTATCCGATGTCAAAGTTACATACAGGGTGTCCCACGAAACATGACAGTTTGTAAATATGTTTAAATGTCGTCTTCTATACACTGTATTAGGTATTAAAGGCTGTTTGCAGTTTATTTCGTTTTAAAAAACCTTTTACTTAAGTATATTTTACTTTGAAATTAATTTTACTATAGATAAAGATAGTATAAAGATAATATGACTCCTATATAATCATTTTACTATTGTCTTTGGTATTAAACAACTTAACAAATTATGGAAGATGACATTCTAAAATATTTACCAACTGTCATGTTTCGTGGGACACCCTGTATCTTATAATAACAATTGTGATCGCATGTTGGAAGAGGGATTAAGTCGTTAATACAAACTCAAATTTGTAATCATCAAACGTAGATTATTTGATCCAACATAAATCACAGTTTGAAATAGGGTCTACGACATCGAGTTGCAAAGATAGAGGAATGAGAAAATCAGAGTGTGTGGCAAAAACTCAATTCCTTCGTAATATGGATTGACTATGCATTCACTAGTACAATTTGACGAGTGACGCTTTATAGAAAACTAACATTTTTGTCCCTTATATTGTATCTGACAAATTATTCTAGCTTGTTAAGTAAATATATGAATCACTGTTGAGCCTACAATAAATACAGGACTAAATTAATTTACACGATATATCTGCGTATAGATGTTTACATGAGAAATATAGAGATTTCACAAATACGCAATCATCTTCATATATGTATTTATTTCTAAATTCGAGTTAAATAGCAAAAATTATAAAAATTAATTAGAACCTTATAAATATTATAAAACATTACAAAATAATCAATAACCATCTACACAACCATCATTGATGGTCAGAGTTACCTTTCATGACCATGATTAATGATTAGAAATCGGTGTAACTGTAGTTATAGTTTAATTCTATAACGGTGCATGATTAAGTTGTTGATAATTTTTTTTTTTGTCGGTCGAAACTAAGGAGATCTGTCAGTAAACGACATAATATAGAACATTATTAAAATTAGAGATATTAACACCACATTAACTGATGTTGTAATGGAACAGTCTTCATAAAATGGCTCTAGGTGTTTACGGAGTTTATTTTTTTTTCATACTATACAAAATTAAAATGTTATGTCTGACATCTATGATAATGCTGCATCTGTCCCGTTCAACTTCTCTCGCACAATTAACCTGATATTTCTGGACCAAAAGTCTCCAAAAGAGTTTTGATTAATATCTTTATATTTGATGTGCAGGTGGGGAAACGCTGGGACCAGAGAGTATAAATACATAAAGAATGTCATGTTATCAATGATGTTGACTGGATTATCCTTTTTTTATTCTTTAAGGCAAAAAATTACCTTGTTTTAATTAAATACTAGGCAACAGCTTTTATACACGCAAACCATAACCCTTATTTTTCGTTTTTTATTTAAATTCAAAAGATTTTAGGCTTTTTAAAGCATATTTCTTAGTAAAAACTTATCTTAAACTGTATATTATCAGGATATCATCATTCATAATATCCAACAAATGGTTAAACAAATTTTGAAGTTTAAAACATTATCAATAATTTTCAACCTTTTAAGCACGTTTTCTGGGTTCACCGACAAAGGGTCAAACGACACAGGGTCAAACGACACTGGGTCAAACGACACTGGGTCAAACTACAAAGGGTCAAAAGTGCGACAAAGGGTAAAACGACATAGGGTCATAAAATGCGACAAAGGGGCAAATTTTTTAAATTTTGACATCTGTTACAGTTAGTATTTATTTATTTTTATTTAGGGTTAGGTTGGGTTAAGACACTTTCTGGGCCGAGCGCTGCGGCTAGGACAGGCTAGGGGGCTGAGCGCTGCGGCCACATGGTCAATTATATCCATGTCTAGCATATAAGATCCATGTACAAAATTGATAGGAGGATTGCGAGTTTCCTATGATTCAAATCAAAAAATATTTTTATCATTTTAACCTTTTGTCGTTTGACCCTTTGTCGCACCTTTGACCCTTTGTCGCACCTTTGACCCTTTGTCGTTTGACCCTTTATCGTTTGACCCTTTGTCGTTTGACCCTGTGTCGTTTGACCTTTTGTCGGTGAATCGTTTTCTGGAGTTTAAATATTGATTGATTGAGTTCAAAACCAATAATATCGCATATAACGTTTCCTGAAGACAGTTCGCTAATTCTACATGATATTCTGTAATTTTTCATAATCTTGGCAAGAAGAATTCGTGACAAATGCTCAACCAACCATTACATAGAAAGCGTAGAAATACGTTTTTTTTTCACACACAAATATATTAATTTACCTTTAAAAAATGTTATGAAGTTTTCCTTTCCAGTTTCCACGTTATATCATGAAGGATAACAAATTATTAATTATTGATTATTGGCAGTATTTTTTCATTATTGTCTACTCCTTGGATCTAACAAACGATAGTTATTTTTAAAATAAGAAATCAGGATCTTCTAATATATACAGGGTGTCCCACGAAACATAAAAGTTGGTGAAAAGTGTTTAATGTCTTCTTCCATATGCTGTATTAGATATAAAAAACCTTTTTACAGTTTATTTCATTAAAAAACTCTTTGAAATCAATTTTACTATAAAGGACAGCCATAAAATATTTGTTTGTTATTCGCTATGGTATCAAACAGTTAAACAAATTATGGAAGAAGACATTTAAACTATTCACCAACTGCTGTTTCGTGGGACACCCTGTAGTAAAGAACATAGCGAACATGATTTTAGTAACTAAGTTTTGATTTTTCCGCCGCTGACACTTTGTAAAAAACTTGTTTAATTAAAAACTGAACAGAAAACGATGCTAATGAATAATAAAAAATTCAAATACCATAAATCAAGGAACTGAAGACAGGAACGCCCTTCTCAAATGTACGCAAATTGTGTACTGTATTTTCTGGGAGCAATATAAACAAACCTTATCAAACTACAAAACTTATCAAACTCAAAACTTAATAGAATAACTACAAAACTTATTTTTCAAAACATTTTTAAAAGTTGTTACAACTTAAACTTGACTTAGAATTTATATTTATAAATCATTATTCATCTGTAAATAGGCTGGCAATATTGAACAGATATGTGTTCAAGGGTACACTATCAAAGCTTGCACACATAGCCTTCAGGTCTTGTTCTTGTTCTCTTTGTATTTGTTGTAAAGATGATTTTCATCATCCTTAAGTAAGTTTGTACCCTTCTGTTAGAGAACAAAATTAGCCTCCATCTCGGTTGAAAGGGACTGGGAAACTGAGAGTTTACCGAATTTTCTAGTAAAATTCGCGGATTTTTTAACAATTGTTGAAACATTTCCATGATTTGAAAATTTAGATTCATGAATTTTATTGATAAGTTTTAATTTTGATATGTTTTGTAGTTTGATTTGTTTTGTAGTTTGATAAGTTTTGTAGTTGATAAGTTTTGTCGCTGATAAGTTTTGAAAAGATAAGTTTTGTGGTGATAAGTTTTGTGGTAATATGTTTTGTATGGGCTCCGAAAAAAGCAAGGTAGAATATTTTTTCCCCTTCATTTCAAGGTTTTTCTTTTTCCTCCCGACGAGATTTCAATTCTTCCTCCCAAGGTTTAAATTCTTCCTCCTGACGTTTGTTTACTTCCTCACAAGATTAAAATGATTACTTCTTAGGTTTAAACACTGCCTCCCTATGGTTTAATCTTTCGTCCTAAGGTTTTATTTCTTCTTCCTTTGATATAATTTCTTCCCCCCAAGGATTTTTTCCTTCCTCCTGATCTTGGATTTTTTCTACCAACGTTTAAATTCCTCTTTCCAAGGTCACAAAGCTTTTAATTTTTTCTCTAACTGAATCCTTTTTCCAAAAGTTTGATTCCTCCTCTCAAAGCTACAAATATTCTTGCTTTTTATAATCATTAATCATGATGTTTAATGTTCATACCTACTGTTGCAATATCTTCTTATTCCCCCCTCCGCCCACGTACATGATGTTTTGCCCCTAAATTCTTTGTTTTGATTTCCTCCCAGTGCAGCATGGGCTGTGCGTGCAGTGTATTACAATTGAGTAAAAAATGTATCAAGCATTGACTTGCTTGATACATTTTGTAGTCAACTATACGCGAAAACCTGCGAATGGCATTGGTAGACTGGTAGTTGGTATAGACAGATAAATTGTATTGAAGGTTAGAAAGTGAAATAATAATTAACGTTTTCTCGAGATTAAAATAATTGCAACGTCAGATTTTTTACACGTTGTTCTATCAAGTATTCTAATATTTATAGAATGAAGTAACTATGATGCAGACATGGTGGATTATTTGATTTTTTAATCAACGTTAAATAGTGTATTTTATATTGTAAACTTAATTAATGTTGTAATTAAAACTAAAGTATAATCAAATAGGAAAATTAGCTTAATAAGTCTGACTTATTTAGACTAAAAAACTATTGAGTTATGTTAGTGTATTGTTATAGTAGTAGTATTTTAATATTATAGTAGTTCATTGTTATAGTAGTAGTATTTTAATATTATAATAGTTCAATTTCTTTCACGAGTTCACAAATTTCTGGATGTTCATGCATATAATGATTTACCGGACGTTTTGAAGTACAATTGTTTACATTTAATACTTTGCTGTTCTGAATCTGTTCATGGTGAAAAAGAGCCGTCTCTCTAATTTGTCCGTCATGTACTGTACAGTTTCGGCACTCCAAGATAACCAGCGGACTCGATAAAACCGGTTCTTGACCAGTTGACCTAGTCAAAGTCTGGAACCGTACAGTCTGGGCTAACAAATAATCCCGTTCCCCAAGTTCCTCCTAGAGCAAAAAGAAACTATTTCTTATAAAACATTACACAATTTTTGTTTCATTAAATCGAAAGGTCAAAAATGGAAGATTTTGAAATGTAATAAAATGTCGAATATCAAACTGTATCAATGACTTGTTCAGAAAATGTACCTGTAGGCTAGCAGACGTCTAAATGTACCTGTAGGCTTGCAGACGTCTAAATGTACCTGTAAGCTAGCAGACGTCTAAATGTACCTGTAGGCTAGCAGACGTCTAAATGTACCTGTAGGCTAGCAGACGTCTCAAAAAATTAGAAAGTGATCCATTTTTTAGAATCCAATTTCGCCCTATTTCCTTTTTTTGGGTGAATGCACAAACTTTATTTCAATATTGATTTTTGCCTTCTGAGCATCATTAAAATATGAAAATAAAGAATAAAAAATTTCCTCTTAAACCGCCCCCCCCCCACACCTTCATAGTTTTCCTATCTTTGAAAACACAAGCCTCAGGATTTGTATAAAGGGTTTGTATATTTAGTTTGTTTGACTTTCTAATGGTCAAAAGGCAAATTAAAGGGAGTGTTCGCGAAAAATGAAAGGGGGTATAGGCTTTATGCGATAAAAAAGCGCTTTTGATCGCCACTAATTTGACTTCTATCAGTTGCGTCTATAAGGAGAAAATTGTTAAAGACGTCTCATACCGAATAACTTAGCGCCGTACAAATTCAGAAAATTGCAACATATGACTTAGACCATATAACATCAATTTAATTTCAAAGAAATCATTCAGATATTACAACCTATAGTCATCGATTATATTTCGCTACATTTGTATATAGTTCATATTTTACAATATTTTATTTGTTTAGAAAACGTTTTAACGGATTTTGAAAACTGTAAGTGGTTCGCGGATTTCTTAGATAGTTGCGCAAGCAACAAGAGAAATAATCAAATTCAAAACAAATTAATTTAAAAATATTATAAAATATAAACTATATACAAATGTGGCGAAAGATAATCGATGACCATAGGTTGTAATATCTGAATGATTTGTTTGAAATTAAATTGATTTTTTACGGTCTAAGTTGTATGTTGCAATTTTCTGAATTTGTATGGGCGCTATGTTATTCGGTATGAGACGTCTTTAACAATTTTCTCCTTATAGACGCAACAGATAGAAGTAAGATTAGTAGAGATCAAAAGCGCTTTTTTATCGCATTAAGCCTATACCCCCTTTCATTTTTCGCGAACACTCCCTTTAAGATTTAAAAAGATTCCCATCATACAGTTCATACTAATTAACTTCAATTTTACAGGAAATAATGGGGGCGTAAAACATTTCAAAAAACAAGAAGATTTGGCGGATAGCAATAAGACGAGGATTTAGATAAACGACTAACTATATTTTTAAAGAGCTTTAAAATTTTTATATATTTTTTTTTAATTATTAATCGATCTTATTCTTAGTGAATAATATTCATTATCATTTTTAGAACGGTGAAAATTATTTCGGTATTTTTGTTGTTTTTCGTACACTCTTTTTGGGAAGAAAGTTTGTAAAAATGTGTTCCAAAAGAAAAAAATATCAAGCATAATATGTGTTGAATAACGCGAGGTAGTTTAAACCACTTCCCTTTACCTTCAACGTAGTTCAAATTTAATTTTTAGTTCTGGTTATTGAAAATCGTTGATAAAGGAATTGAGTCTTTGCCACAAATTCAGATTTTCTAATCACTATATCTTTGCAACCCAATGTCGTAGACTTAGATATTTCAAATTAAATATCAATTCCGGTAGATCAAATAATCTATGTTTCAAATATCAAAGGTTTGAGTTATCAAGTTGCTAAGATATAGGGATTAGAAAATTTGAGTTTGTGACAAAGACTCAATTCCTTTCACATTTCATGAACACTTCGTTGAAATTCAAACTATTTTATTTAAAGCATTTATTACCTTTCTGCAGATAAACATAAGAAAACAGCTGATTAGCTTGAGAATAAGCATAACTAAGATCCCCAGCAGTACTAGGACATGTACAGGTACAGATTCATGTACAGGAAAGCAGCATTTATTTAGTGATAGTTTCAGCTGCTCGGTACAGTTAATATTCCTAAAAGTAAGTGTTTTATATCCATGCATGGTACAACATAAAAGTTAATACACATACAATACATGTTGACTTGTCCACGTAAAAAATCTTTACAGTAAAAATGGTGTACAAAAACTGTGATGAAAATATGTTCTGGAAATAAGTGTAAAATACTTAATCTTTGAAACCTGCAGTTATCTGTATAGTTGAACATTATGCACGGACAGTCCCCGAGGTAATGGCTATTTATCAATTCTTAAATTTTATCTTTTGATAATCGTTACTTCAACATTGGATTAGTTTATCTAGATAATTGCATTGTATTCATCTTCTTCTATCAAACCTTCTAATAATAGTAATATTTAGGTAAAAATATAAGAAATTTACAGAAAAAAAAACAGTTCACCGACCTTAAGTCAACCAATTTTCAAAATATAAAAAAAAATCACGCTCCACAGGAAGCAGGACTCAGGAGATGGTTATATTCTTGCGAGAAGTTTAGTATCTCCTTGTTAAATAGTGATCTGAAATTATTACGAACAAAAGGGGGAGAAAAGGGGGGGGGTAAACATTTTTTTGGAATGCGATGTAAACGTCCCTTATACCATGTTTTCCGTTTTATTCAAGAACGTCATTTTCCTGAGATTGATTTAAATATTTAATATATTTTTTTCTTTTTCTATCTCGCAACCTCGAGCAAACAAATAGAGGTTTCGTGATTGTGCAAAACCTAAAATATATTTTGATATTTAAAACAAATTTAGTAGATGTTGGTTGTTGGCACGGAATATTGACTATATGGGGAATAATGATAATACCAATGTTTTTGTTGAATAAGAAACAAACTAATGATTCCTCTTTTTGGCGTATCAATCATTACTATTCAACCAAAGTGCACCCTGTTAAATGGTAATACATTTGTTTATTGTTTATTGTTTACTTAAAAATAAGTTTAATGTACATGTAATATATTATCTATATATTTAAGTCAACACTATAAAGCCAAATTTGCATGCAAAGAATATAATTTGATTAAAGTTTACAATAAACTACTCGTTATTCCAGTTTAATTATAATTGACGACATTTTTCTGCAATTTCCTTGACTATAGTCATGTTGTGTGTCTGTACCAAAAGAGTGTGTGTAAGGAATACCGAACTCGTCTGCAAAGCAGTGCGACTGGCTTTCTCATGTCAGACCAGCGCCAGTTCCTTTCCCTTTATTCTTATTCCCTGATTTTAGTAAACACCTTTCATTGACCGAAATGGGGATTGGTGTTCCACAAGAAGTCACGGGTTCAAACCCCACATCTCACAAAATATATATGGTAGAAGGTTGAAATAACTAACGTTCACAAAATTGGGTTGTTATGATATAGATATGTGTGGTAAAGACTCGGCTTATATGTTTATTAATAATTAATTTTACCAATTAATTTATAATTCATACTAATTAAATGAGGGGATATGTAATGTGTTATGAGTATGTGTGTTAAAATAATAAACAGCAGTTTTGTTTCTAATAACAGTAAAAATATCAAAGATTGATAATTGTTTTTTAACAATCTTTGCAACATGTGCGAAATCCTTTTTACTTTTTAAAAATATTTTAAACTTTTTTCATTGATTTGATGGTTAATATATATCGTTAGAACTTATAAAGAGGGTTAACCCCCAGGCCGAAATATATACATTTCTATATTAAATAAAACCTACTTTTTTTCCTTTATAAGGTTTACTTGTTTGCTGTGCACAATACACATGATGAAATAAATGACGAAGTATTTTCTGAAAGAAAATTATATAAAATAATTCTGCGAGTTGTTTCGGTTTAATGAAGTTAGACTGAGTTTAAAATATGATGATTAAAGAGCTTGTCTAGGAGTATAATGAACTTGATTCCTTTCAAAAAATGATAATAACAGTTTCTTTTCCAATTGTTTCAGGCAAAAGTAAAAGCATTAAAAGATGTTAATATTAAATTAAAATTTTGACTGATCTCTTTGTATTCCATTATATATACTCCCAGATTAGTTTGAGCTCCTCCAACCCCCCGGCACTACAAGTAGAAAAGAGCAGCAGGAGAGAGAAAAGAAACTTTTTACTCTCATCTTTTATCATTTTCTTCTTACTTCTAGTCTCTTAATTCTCTTTTATTCAATGAAGATTAAGGCGCCAACTCCGGAACTAAGCTTTTTATACAAGATACATTAATCGAGCCATGCAGTGTACCAGGAATCCTGGAAACGGAAACCAAAAAGCCCCTGCCTGGGCCTAAGTCACAAAGACTGGTAGTCCTGTTTTAAATTAGAAACCTAGATTTGATAAATCCTAAAACCAAAATCTACTTCTGAAAAGTAGGAAACCAGAGTAAACTGGAAACTAGAAAAACAAATTAAGCTGAAAACTAGGAAACCAGGGTAAACTGGAAACTGGGAAACCAGAGTAAACCGGAAACTAGGAAACCAGAGTAAACTGGAAACTAGAAAATCAGGGTAAAGCGGAAACTAGGAAACCAGAGTAAACTGGAAACTAGAAAATCAGGGTAAACTGCATGGAAACTATAGGAGACCAGAGTAAACTGGAAACTAGAAAATCAGGGTAAACGGGAAACTAGGAAACCAGAGTAAACTGGAAACTAGGAAACCAGATTAAACTGGAAACTAGAAAACCAGAGTAAACTTGAAACTAGAAAACCAGGGTAAACAGGAAACTAGAAACCAGGGTAACCTGGAACCTAGAAAATCAGGGTAAACTGGTAACTATAGGATACCAGAGTAAACTGGAAACTAAGAAACCAGAGTAAACTGTAAACTAGGAAATCAGGGTAACCTGAAAGCTGAAAACCAGGGTAACCTGGAAACTGAAAACCAGTGTAACTGGGAAACTGAAAACAAGAGTAAACTAGAAACTAGGAAAGCAGAGTAAGGAAACTGAAAACCAGGGTAACCTTAAAACTGAAAACCAGAGCCCGCGATTTAAAAGCTTCGGCGCGAGTCGTAATTCCTTAAACCCAACTTTAAGACCCAATCCCCAACTCTAACGACAGCTTGTGTCACGTGATTGACAGCTGCAAGATCTTCGGCTCGACTTAAGGAGTTAGGCCCAATGAAAATAAAACCGACCTTTGTTGGTTTTAGTGGAGAATAAGGCTCAATGTTGGGTCTTATTCTCATCAAAACCCGGAATGCACCAATTCCAACTATGAAAATCCGCCAAATATAACATTAAACCGGTTTTATGAACTAAATTCTGTTGAAAAATAGATTGTTTAAGGAATTAAGACTCGAGCCGAAGCTTTTAAATCGCGGGCTCTGAAAAATTTAAAACTTAAAGTTATAAACCGACAATTCAGGAATTAATGAAGGAACGCAAACATATTTACCTAACAAATAATTAGAAAGATATCCTATTCACTCTAAATGCTATTAACTGTAATTTACTGATATTAAGACCTCTTTTAGGAAGAATAAGCATATTGAGAAACCTCCCCTTCCTGCCCCCCTGTAGGCGTGCCCTGAAAGAATTCAATCAAAGCCCTGGCTACCTATTGTCTGATTGATAAAGCATTCTTCAAATATAGAAGGTCCAGGTACTCCAACCCCACTCTACACACTGCACAGTGTCAAATTCCACGGGGATTAGAACAGTTCAACGGTTTATAGAAACCCTTGTCAAAATATTCGGGAAAATCCGCAAATATCAAATTCACAAAATCCTTGTTATGTCACAATGGACATCTTCAACTGTTTGTATATGTAGAAAATATTGAGCTGCCAATCTTACCAATTCTCCAGGAGCAAATCTTAAAGGAACTGAACACTTGCGTCAAACTCAAACTTTGAATCCTTATATCTTTGCAACCAAATATTGTAACCCTTTTGCTATATAAAAACATGAATTTTCCGAGATCAAATTCTCAAAGTTTGAAATATCAATTTGGTTTACAACCACCATGTGTCACTAAAATAGAAATATACAGTTTGAGGCAAGTGTTCAGTTCCTCTCCTTAAAAGCTATTTATAAGAGTTTTTGTCATAGATCCCTGCAAAATTGTTTCAATCTCTGCTATTTCCAAAATTATGAATTGACTCTAAAAGTTTGAATTATAATTTAAAATGATTCTCCGGTTGAGTTTTTATCTAATTGGATGGCGCTAAATTCTCCCATTTCGGTTTTAATTTAATCAGCTTTTATATTATGTCTCCCAGTCCCCTCCCCCTCTCCTTCTTTCTTTTTCACGCCATTTCAACAAAAATTACCCCACGAGGATATTGATTTTTGATTCAAACTTTGTTATTTTTTAATTCTTTATTCTTAAAGGCCAAACTAGATGTTTCAAATAATGAAAGTTTGAATTTGCAAGCTTTTAGTGGAAATAGGTACGAAGCACAAAAAAATATAGCTTTAAAGGACATACATGGAAACATGATGAGGTGGGGGGAGGGTAATGTTTCCTTTTTATACCCCACATTAAATCTAAAAAAATGTAATCCCCCTCCCCCCCCCCCTTGTGGTGAAACCACCTTCTCATTTCCGATGCTAATTCCCCGGGTGGAAAGTCAGTAAAAGTTTTATCTTTTCTAATTTCTCTAATTAAACTGTTAGAAAAGAAATTCAAACTATTTTGTTTTCTTTCTATTTTCTTGCAAAACTTTGTGGATTATTTTAATGGTTTTCTATAAACCTGCGATACACTGATATGGAATAGGTGGATATGAACCATTCCAAGATATACTATCTTAATATGTGCTTGAATTCACCTTTTAATAATAAAACCTATAATGATTTTTTTAAAGGTAAATGTAATGAATGTTTAACGATATAGATAATATTCTGTAGGCTATAACTCTAATGCCGTTCCGTCATTGCCATCTAGGGTTGTTAATCGTTTTTGAAAACGATACGATCGTTTTTTTCGTTTTCCTATAGTTTTTTGTTTCGTTTTCCGATCATTTCAAAAACAATCGTTTTAAAAACTTTTTAAAAAACGATAGTTTTTAAAACGATCGGAAAACGAAACAAAAAACGATAGGAAAACGAAAAAAAAACGATCGTTTTTATAAAAAATGAAAACGTTAACATCCCTACTGCCATCTAGGGTTTTAAAAATATTTACGAGTTTAGTGAAAGTCTTAACTTAACATGAGTTAATATGACAGTTACAAGTTTGATAGTATGTAAAAGTCAAAGACTTTTTTTAAAGGAGCCCTAATATTATTAGAA